TCGTTATTATTATAGGTTATTATTATTTGTCACTGTTATTTTTATTTGTTATTATTTGCTATTATCATTTATTGTTATCGTTATTAATATTTGTTATTATTACTATTACTCAAATAATCGATTCATGAATTCCCTAATAATATATGCTAAAATATGAAGAATTCTCCATCATATTCCCTCCTTCCTTATTTAGAGTGTATTTTGCAAAAATGCTGCGATTGTATTGTGATTATACAAACTTCACATTATTTGCTACAAGTCAGTTATCGCTTTCAAATTTAGCTGAATTATTTGAAACAGTCGAAAAATTTGCCAAATCTAACTTACATATATCTTTAAAACATTTTAATTTGTTTCAGAAGAAATGACGATATTACGATTCACTGTTTCACCCAATACTGATTGCCAACACGTCCGTCCATTTCGAGAGCGCAATCGATGAAAGCGAAATTGATGGACCCCTGCAATATACTCTTTGCTTGCATGCTTATTCGCTCAACAAAAATTATTTTATCTATCAAATAATCTATAATTGTGCCGTGATGTGTACAGAATATGTTAATACATTTAGCGCACGAAAAGGGAGCAAAACGCCATATTCCCATCCCATCCAACACCCAAATAGTGCTTTGGTACTCTCTGCGTCCTCTCTTCTTTATACTTATTTGATAGACATTGATTTAAAAAAAAAAATATTGAAATTAACTGTCTTTTGCAAATGATTGTCGAATTTCATTTCCTTCTCTAAATATTTACTATAATTTACCATAACTTTTTCATTTTCAAGTTTTGATTCATTTTTGATTAAATTTTAACATATAAGACAGAAAACGTCAAAAAAAATAAATTTTAACATACACACATACATACACGCATACACACACGCAGACAAGAACTAGTCCTAAGGTCATAGAATGCTGGTAGGACCAAGAGTATCCACCATTTTAGAATCCAGTTCATTTAAGAATTTCTGGAAATTTTGAAAATATGCTTGTGTATTGTCTGGGTATGTGTATGTGTATATGTGCATGTGTGTATGTGTGTGTATGTGT